ATTGACCAAAGAAGGCCCCCTTAATGGCTATTCATTAAGAGGAATAATTCATTTGCCTCCAACTATATTATATAACATGACCTCCGTCTAATTGGTTTGACTAATGTCCCCAACAAGGTAATTGCCAAGATCATTGCCTCACGTTTGAAACATATTATGGATACTCTCATTACACCGTATCAGAATGCATTCTCCCCTGGGAGACAAATTCATGATAATAGAAATTTGGCTTCAGAAATCATCCATACTAAGCAAAAACAAAAGGATATGGTTGCCGGTTTCTTGTTGAATGTGGACTTAGCCAAAGCATATGATAGAGTTGAGTGGGGTTTTCTCTTGTGGAGTCTTCTTCAACGGGAGTTCTCTCCAAACTCCATCTCTCTTATTCGTGCTTGTATTACATATGCTTCTTACTCTATCTTGATAAATGGCAAAATGGGGAATTCATTAAGACCAGAAAGAGGTTTAAGACAAGGATGTCCTTCGTCTCCATATCTTTTCATCTTATATATGGATATTCTTTCTCGTATGCTTCTGCACAATTTGAATGGTGGTCTTCTACAAGGTTTCAAACTTGCAAAGAACTGTCCAAAACTAAATCATATTTTTTTTTTTTTTTTGCAGATGATATCCTTATTGTTGGGAAGTGTTCCATCTCAGAAATTTCAAATATACGAGATATTCTTCTTAGATTTGGGGATGCCTCAGGTCAAAGAATCAATTTTGAGAAGTCGGCTATCTACTTCAGTAAAATGTCCACAGACGAAGGAGAACTGAAATCTCTGAATTTCTTGGGGTTCCCACTATGAAGACTCATGACTCTTATCTTGGTGTCCCACTGCTAAAACATGGAGGTCAAAAGAGCACTTGGAACTTTGTTGTTGATAAATGTAAACAAAAGCTAAGTAAGTGGAAGACTGAGTGTTTATCACATGTAGGAAAAGAAGTACTTATTAAATCAACAATCACCTCTATTCCATCTTACTTCATGGCCTCAAATCCCCTCCCTCACTCAATATGTCCCAAATCAATTCTGTTGCAAGGGATTTTTGGTGGGGATTTAAAAGCGGGCAGGCTCATATCCATCTACAAGGGTGGAAAAAAAATTCACAAAGCCAAAGTTCAGTGGTGGACTTGGAATTCATGATATTCTCCTAAAAAATCGTGTGACAGCCATGAAACTAGCTTGGCGTTGTCTGATTGAACAAGACAGGCTATGGGCCAAACAATTAAAACTAAAGTACTTGATCTCTGGCGAATCTTTTTGGAGTGTCAAGCCTAAAGGATCATCTTCCCACATCTGGAAGTGTCTTCTTAACTCAAGGGAGGATTTAAGAAAGGGAACACGAATGCTGATCTCAAACGGATGGGACACAAACATCTTCAATGATCCGTGGATTCCAAACTTCATTCTTAACAGAGATGACTCTCAATCCAATGGGAAAGTTGCAGATGTCATTGACTTTGACTATGGTAAGTGGAGATCAGAGCTGATTCTTTCATAGTTCGATCCTATCATTGCTCAAAGCATTCTTAAGATTGAGATTCCGGCTAATCCTCTTGCCCACCAGGATAAGATCACCTGGACTGTCACCCCCAATAGTTGTTTCTCTAGTTCTTTGGCCTATAGATTACTGAACGGGGAGTATGTTAATTCCTCTTATAATCTGAGTGCAACCCCAAACATTTCTTGGAAAGAATTCTGGGCTTTCAAAGAGCTCCCACCACGTATTCACATCTTTGTTTGGAGAATACTTCGCCAAATTCTTCCTCTGAAAGGAGTCCTCTCTAAGTATACAAAGAAGATCGACAATCTTTGTCCCCTTTGTTTTGAAGTGGAAGAAGATATGGATCACCTGTTTATTCACTGTTATACCCTCCGCCCAGTCTGGTTTGGTTCATGCCTATCACTCAAAGTTGAGGAGTGGCCACATAAAGGAGTTAAGGATTGGATCTCCTTTTGGTGGAATAGAATCAATGAAACGCCCGATAATGATTTTTGTGCGTTTAGTAAATTTTCTATTATCCTTTGGCACTGTTGGAAGGCAAGATGTAAAGTTGCGTTGGAGAATTCCCAGTTTAGGCTTTCTTCGATAATTGCTGTGGCCAACTCCCAAATTGAAGAACTGATCAGTGTTAAATTGAGCCATGACTCAAATCAAACTTCAATTTCAGTTATGCCCTCCCCAAAATATTATTTGTGTTGACGTTTGGTGTGGCTGAGTAATTCAACAGTCACAAATAACTCCACTAAACTGCTCCACCCCTTTCATCTTGCTGAAATTTAGGGACCACGTTCCCATTTTCTTCTCTATAAAAGAGAGCTTCCAGGGAGAAGATCGTGGTGTGGTTAGTGAGCATTAGAGAGAACTTATAACAAGAGGTTTGCAACCCAGAGATCTGAACTTCAGAAATCCTTTATTCGAGCAGTCTGCATATTCAGAGAACTCTGCAACTAAGAGAAGTTTGAACTTCTGTAATACTTCAATTGATGTTGTTATCTACTGGTTTCTCTGCCTTTGCAGCCTATGCCATGGAGTGCGTCAAGGCTTCGTTAAAAGCATCTTGACACTATTAAGGTGGCTAGTTTGTAGTACTCTCATCAAGGATATGAATAAAACAAGTTCTCCTTCCTCTCTTGTGGATGTAGGTCTCTTTGACCGAACCACATAAATCTGGTGTCATCTTTACCTTTCTCTTTTGTTTTATAATTCACATATTTCTCAAATGTTTTTGAGTTTGCTATCTGATTGCCATACTAATTAATCGGTAATTCAGAGTATTAATCCTTACAACTTGGCATCCCCCTATACAACCTTTCATCAAAATCAATGTAGATGGAGCTCATAACCATTCTCAATCTGGTTGGAAGAACGGTTAAACTTCCCTTTATTTGATCATCCTATCTCAGAGGCCTTGGATTTCAGAGAAGGAATTCAAATGGCCAAGGATTTACAAATCTCTCATGTTTGGATTGAAGGTGATACTAAAAAGGTAGTCCAAGGCCTGTTGAATGACCGTCTGGATACCCTTGGCGGTTATTTCCCATTATCACTGATTGCAGGGACCTTTTGAAAGGATTTCAGTCTTCAGTTATTTCCTTTAAGCCTTGTACAGGCAATAGAGCAGCACATTTAATCGCAAAATTTGCTTGAAATCGATCAAGGACCTTAACTTGGTCGATTCCTCCTGATTTCCTTTTGCCTGTACTCGTTGATGATATGAATAAATGAATTGCCTATGGGCTACTTCAAAAAAAAAAAAGAACCATATTACATAACACACGTCTATAAGTCCATTGAACTTATCTATATAGTAGTAATAGATGAATGTGGAGTCACAATACCAACTATTTGATCAATTTTTTTTAGTTAGTGAACTATTTGATCATTGGTGCTTATAACCATATTAAAGGAACCCTAACCACCTCCCAGATGTGACACCAGCCCTCGGTTTGACTCCACAATATTGTGCCCTCTATCTAGACACTCTATGGGCATGTAAAATCAAACCCAAATTTTTTTACCCACCTTGAATTGCAGTCACACATCTCACAATTCAAGATGGTGATACGTGGCCACAATTCACGGCGAATAGAATGTGGGAAGAGAGGGTTTGTGTAAAATCAGTATTCCATATTGTATAATGTGTATGTTCAACTTATTTGTGTTGTATAATTGCATTGAATATATTTACATTTGCACTTTTATTAGGGCACCACACATACACATCTCTGTGCATTTGTAACATCTCCCAATGACAACTTGGAGGGATGTTCTCAATGCACGCTAAGATCATGTGGGATGCCTGTGGAGATGTGAATTTGTTTTAGCCAACCAAGTATAATTGGCATAAAGTTTGAGTAATGATGATGATGAGGATAGTTTAATAAAGAGTTTTAATGAATCTTTTTCCTTTTCTTATTGATGGACTTTATGAAAACTTGTAAATGATGGTGCTAATTGGAATTTACTAAAGCCTTTTCACTTGGGCTATTTGATAAAAAAAAATAAGAGAAAAAGGAAAGTAAATCGATTGAAAGTTCTTATTAAWTTTGACAAAATTTGGCTCTTTTATTTTTCTTTAGAATCAAGAATAACTTTTTAAGCTGCATTTGGCGTTCTTTGTTTTAAAGATTTATTATCTTATTGTACTTAAAAACTCAATATTTATACGGGAGACATTTCAACTGCATAAAAAGAGAGAAACTTTAATATTAAGAATGCCAAACGCAGTTAGAAAGAGTCCGAATCTCTCCCGTCTACCAGAACTCTGCCCATGTTTATCGGAATCATACATGGAAAACATCTCATCCTCTGGCATAGTTCTCGTGGGCAGGTGATCCCGACTCAGTGGTTCAAGTTTACAACTCATTAACAATCATACATCCATCTAATCTTTTCGTGGGAAACATCTTTCCTCATTCAAACAATCAAACATTCTGGCTCGGTGGTTCAAGTTTAAAACTTCAGCCAGGAGGGCCACCTTCAGCCATCTAACAATCTGGTGGTGACCACCTAAAATTAAGTTGATCCAAATGAAATAATTATAGGGTTCTAGGGTTTTGTGAACTCTGTAAACCCTCCAAGGCTCCAAAGTCTAAAGGTATTCTTAATTTCTTATGATCTCATCTGATGGATTGATTGGGACATATCCCAGAAAGGCTGCGGCTACTCTTGTCATTTCAAGCAAAACGGTCACCAATGAAAAACCCTAATTCCTCTCTTCACCTCTCATTAACCGCTTATTTTACCGATAGTTGAAAAAAGTCACCCTCTATGGTCTTGTCATCTAGCCGAAAGGGAGAGAGGAGGAGCTAGCCAGGTCTCGAGTCATGACTCATGACTTGAGTTGAGCCCAAGCCTGCGCTCCATTATGGGTTTAGGGTTCTAAAAGGGACGTTGAAAAAGAAAAAGAAAAGGGGAAAAAGAGAGAATAGAATGAAAGAAGAGAATTATTTTTTATTTTCTTTTTCAAATTTATGGACGCCACAGCCAGTGCTAGTCGACTAAGACAGTAAGACTACCCCCTCTCTTTAAATGAGGCCAACCTATACTCTCCTGTTTCTCCATTGGTAACAGTAACCAGTAGTAGCAGTTGCAGGCGCCGTTTCCCTTTTTTACACTCTCCTCTCTCCTTTTCCCCTTTCCTCTTTTGTTTCTCTCTGCAACAACATGCCGGGAGCTTCTCACTATCTTCGCAAACCGTGACCATTCCCCCCTCTCTCTGTCTGTCCATCTGTCCCTCTCTCTTCCTCAGCAGCAGCAGCAGGGAAGAAGAAAAGAGAAAATGGTGGGTCTTGCTTTTCGTTTTCTAGTTTCGTGTTGCAGACTTTTCGTGGAACTTAATTGAATTTTGCTCATGTTTTTCAGGTTGGTATTTCTTCTCTTCCCCACTGGCTTGAGGTCCTTCTCGGAGAGAAGTTCTTTAATCCTTGTTTGGTTCATGAGTCTGCAAAGAAGAACGAGAAAAACATTTTCTGCTTGGATTGTTGCACTAGTATATGTCCTCACTGCTTATCTCCTCACCGTTCTCATCGGCTCTTACAGGTTTAAAGAAAGTCATAAAACTACTCAACTCACAAATTGAAACAGAAAAAATCCCCATTTCTTTGTTGTTCAAGCTTCAGATTTATTTTTTTTTTCTTTTAACTTCTTTCTTATTCCAGATAAGAAGGTATGTTTACCATGACGTTATACGGCTGGATGATATCGAAAAATTAATCGATTGCGCCTTTGTTCAAGTAAGTTAAGAAAAATATAGAAAAAGCTTCTCATAAATTAAATTATGTATTTTTTTTTCTTTATACAGTGTTTTGAATTCTGGGTTTTGCTTTATTTTTACAGTCGTACACGACGAACAGCGCAAAGGTGGTATTTTTAAACCAGAGGCCCCAGTCTCGGCCTTTTAGAGGCTCCGGCAGCATCTGCAGCACCTGCGACAGGAGCCTGCAAGACCCATATCTCTTCTGTTCTCTCGCCTGCAAGGTCGAGCACCTCCAATGGACTCCATTGACTGACTTTTTTTTATTGCTTTTAGCATACCCATCTCTCTCTCTCTCTTACCATTTCTTTTGCCTTCTGTGGCTCATATCAGGTTCATCATCTGGCGAGGAGCGAAGGTGGAGTGTCGAAGTATCTTTTCGAGTGCGAATTCCTTCCATTACCGGAAGGAGGAAAAGGAGAGAGCTGTTGCGAACTGGAGGATGGGCAAATGACGCCCAGCTCGGTACTGGAATCGCCAATTTCTTTACACACCTCATCCGGGTCCAGCGCAAGTGGTGGTGGTGGTGGCGTGGGTTGCAGGACCCTTGCCTGCACTGCTACGACGGAGTTCGTGAAGAAGAAGCGGACCAGCATTTCGGTTTCAAGGACGACGTATCGGCCGACATGTTCACGCGCGTCGGAAATCTCAATCAGTAACAGGCGAAAGAGTATCCCCCACCGGTCGCCACTTTATTGATCGTGTACGAAGAAGCAATTAAGAAAGGTATTGGGGAATGGGGAGGAGGGGTGTTGTGGGGGACATACATGGAATTTCCATGTTTTTTGTTTTGTTTACTTACATGGTGTCTCTGCATTGCCAAAGCACAACCCTCCCAATTTTGTAGAGGAATTATTGTTCTTTCTCTTTAGGTCACTATTGCTTTTGTCTCTCTCTCTTTCTCTCTCTCTCTCTCGTGGATAACAGAACAACAAACAAAGAATGCAGTCAATAGTGGGGAGAAGGGCCTGATTCTAGTAATGCTTTGTCTTCTCTTTCTTTTTCTTTTCTTTTCTTTTTTTTCCTTCTTTGGGATTTTTGTTGGTCCCAACGTCCTAATGTTAGCTATAATTCTGGTCAATTCAAAGCTTTATATTCGGTTAAATTCCACCAAATTACAACAAGATTTCTTTAATTTAGAGATACAAATAGATGTTTAGAATAGAATTGCTTTTGTATGTATTAGTGTTAGCTGATTTTTATTTTATATTGGGATTGTTGAAATTGGAAATTGAGATGAAATGACAAGTATTTTTATTCATGCCAACAGTGTAAAAAAACTGCACAGCCAGAGTAAATCTCTTGAGTTTTATCTAATTGGGGGGGCTAAGGTTGGGTTGGAAAATGGGACCCTTGAATCCATGGAAGTGGAAGCAGTAAGGTGTATGACCCACCATCCCTTAGCTTCCCCAAAGGGAAACCCTAGAATTTGCAAGCACAAGTACYCAACAGGAAACAATTCTTTCCTTGTCCCCCTTGGAACTGAACAATAAAGAACTCCATCAGACAATGGCCAGAATTTTTTTTTTTTTGAATTATTGTTATTTACTACTCTACTCTCTCTTGCCCTTTTTTTTTTGTTTTTAAGTTTTCTGCCAATTCAATTCACCTGCAAATAAATACATAGATAAATAAACAGTACACAAATTAATTAAAAATTCCTATAAATACTTGAAATTGAATGCTTCCAGCTACCCAAATCAGTTGTACAAAATGGTATAAGTAAAGGACGCAATTTAAAAGATGGTCCCATTAGGTCGATTTCTAGTCATAGAAGGTAATTGTGTGGGGTCCAACAATTGGATGGTGAGATTTGTATCATGTTGAAAAAAACCATTACCTTACCTCATTGATTTCATTGTCTTATTTTTTGTTTTCTTTCTTTGAATTATTTAATGAAATGCGTATGGGACGAGGTCTGGGGGCATAGAGTGTTGAGGTTGGGTGGTGAGGAGGCATCCATTCAAGCTCTTGTGCTCTTGGTTCTTTCAAATATGTCCGACATGTCGCCTCTTTGGGGAATCGGGATTTGCAACTCACGGAGTGAACCTCACAGCCCACACCATATCTCACCGTCTATTGGGAACATCTTCCCGTATTATGAGGTTAGTGTGAGGAGCAGAGGGCTCTTTAGGGCGGAAATATCAAATATCCCGTTTTGAGTCCAACAGAAAAAATATAATATTGCCACCTGTAAATATACAGGGCATGATAAATAATAACCTCTTAAGGGCATTCATGTCTTTTAACCACTTCGATTAGAGAGAACCTGGAAGGAGCGCTCTTTAAAATCACAGGCTGAGGCCGCCTCAATTTCTATACGGCCACCTGAGCTGTAGAAGACGGGTTGGGTTATAAACAAATTATTTACGGACCTGATTCTGCCACGTGGCAAGTGTGGGAAGGGTTGGTAACGTGAGGTCGAGTGTTGTACCTGTCATACAGCTGCGGATGCCCGTCTCTAGTCCAGGGGCTTTCATGCAAACCTCCTCCTCTGACATTAGCATTTATTGTGGAAGAATATATAATACGATGTTTACAGGTAAAAGAGTTCCACTATTCCATCCATACTGGGACCAATTCTAAATTCTAATTTTCTATGCAAGGAAGGAGGGAAGGAAATGAACCAAGTTTTTAAGTCTAAATGGTTTGATTACCAAAAAAAAGTGGGTTGATTTCAAAAGCATCTCTCCTCGTCAACTACACCTGAATTAGATGAACAACTTGTTTTAAAATGGAAGTGCCTCCTAATAGGTTTGTATCAATTGGACATGGATCAGACCGGATGGTTGGACCGTCAGAATTTAGAATCTTCGTCCAAAACAGTTGAGTTAATCAATTCTTAGAAATGTTGATTGTTTGTGTGAAACCTATATATTCAAATATGTAGGTCAATTAATAACAGTCTTTACCCACAATATTTGTTCTTCTAAACTTAAATAATCGTGAAGTATTTGCTATTTTTCAAATTTGTTTGAGCAAATCAATTTAATTTTCTTTTTATTTGTTCATTCTTTGGTAATACTGCAATAGAGCAAGTCAATTCAGATAGTAAGACTGTTCAACGTGTGACCAAAACCGTCTTATTTCCAGTCTGGGTGACAAAATTTGTTTGTACCTTGCAAAGTAGCACGACTACACCCATTACTCAAATCTTGTAAAAAGCATTGCATTGGGATCTTGTCTGGATGTCCATTTGAAGTTACATGGGAATGCTATTTCCTACACTATAAAGCTTAGCTACTATAAATTAAATATAAATATTAAATAATATGGATTAATTATAAACATACATTAAAAAAAAAAAAAAAAAATGACCTTAATTTCAAATTAAAACCCACTTGGGCAAACATATATAGATGAGTTCTAGGGAGGTTTTGATGTTTAAATTATATGATATATTAACACTTTTTTCAGAGTAGTAGACTACGTTATTGTCGTCCTGTTATTTAAAAATCTCCCACTTTTTATGCCTTTTTTTATTTGGGAAAAAATGGTGAATTAATCTAGAATCAAGCAAACCTTGAGAACCTTTCTACGAATTAACAGGCCTAGAGAAAGTGATTTGAATGGATTTCAAATTAAAAAGACCTTAGTTCTAATTCTATATTGTGCCATCCGACCATTGAGAGTTTGCAAGCAAACTTATTATTATTATTTCACAAAAATACTCCTGTTTGGTTTTTTGTCATTTTTTTCTGCATTATTCCATTACATGGTGGCATCCGTCCAAGTAAAATTCAAAATATAAGTGCTTTTGTGTTTTGTTATATGTAATTGCTCTGAATGGCAGACGTACCTAGGGTACTAGTTTATTGATAATTTGATATTATGGCACCATATGAGCCTTGCACGGCTGGAGCTGATGTGTAAGGGGTAACCCGGAGCAATGCATTGAGGGGAGAGAGAGAGAGAGAGAGAGAGAGAGAGAGAGAGGGAGGTCTATTTGTAGTTATGAGCAATGAGAGTTGTTATTTTCTTTTGTATTATCAGGAAATTAAAGAAAGGGTATTATTGTGTTAATTATGGGAGTTGTAAACATATGACCTCTCCCTTCTCTGGTATTGAAGAATGAGGTAATGTTGTTAAAACATAAAAGGAATCATATTTGTAGTTTATTGTTAATGGTCCAAAAGAGCTAAGATATGGACTTATCGGATTAGTACTTGACTACCTGTAAGATATCAAAAGGTCTCACGAGAGTGAATGATAAAAGGGAAAAGCCAAGGGATAAAAGTGAAGGGGAATCCTCCATGGATGTCTAGGGAGCAAGTAGGCTGATTTTGTGTAAGAGGCGAGAGAGGTCAGAGGAGGAGTCATATTCATTTGGGTCAGTGTGTCATTTGGAAACAGATATCCACTTGGTTGGAGCCCACGATTCCATAGGCAACAGTCCCTAGGAATAGGACTTACCCAAATGGAATAGGGATTGTTCACGCTTACATACAGATAGTCTTTCAGTCTTTCTTTCTTATTTTATTATTATTATTATTATTTTTTAATTTTTTGGCAGCTAACGCCAACATTATACGGTCTTTTGAATTGAATTGAATTGTATTCTGCTATTCTATTCTAACGAGGGGACATTTTGGGACTTTCTTTTAGACTGGTTTTGAAATAGACTCGAACCCATATATGTTTTAACCCACCCAATTCACTCATAAGTCATAACCCATCTAACCCAACCCATATTACTCATTCAATTCACTAACTTTGTCACCCATCTAAACCCAAATCCAGTCATTTACTTAGTTGGAAAAGGAACTGGGTTGAATTGCCAATTCATAGACTCAGATGGGTTTGATTAAGCTGGGTCATGGATAGTCAGATATTGGATCACATTTTAGTTTATCAATGCATTGCAGTCAGTTGCCCTTCAACCCAAACCCAATGCAACCGATTGCCATCTATCTCAGCTTCTGCACTGGGATCGGGACCAATCACCAAAACCCATATGGGTTCTTCACCCAAAATCTAGTCTAGAATATAAAACTGTCCAACCTCAGGTCCTCAGCACAAAGAACCATGAGTCCCACAAAAAACACAAGGGCACCATCATATAAAAAACATACTGCCCTTATAAACAGTTTGAACTACATGGCAAATGTTTGGGCTTGGGGCTCTAGGATCCCTAAAACGATCTGGAGCTGCCACATGTCTCTACTTTGTTATTTCATTGAAAATCCACCACTAATTGTAATTTATTAAAAGGATTGGTGAGGCCAAGTTTTGATTTTGAAAATTTGGCAGATGGATGCATTTGGGTCGGAAATTGGGAAGAAGTTCTATCGCAGCTTTCAGGGTTCATTTTACCTGTGCATTATGCCAATGGTGTTTGAGCAATTGGTTCTAATCCTCTGAATATACAATCCAAGGGAGATTATCTGGGTCCTAAATCCAAGATAGCCTCATATTACATAATTTATATTTGATTGCATTGTAATATAAAGGAAAATAAAGAATAGTTTCAAATCTGGATAGAGTCATTATAACCAATTGGGCTGTGGAATTGCTCGACTAATTCCAACCAACAATTGAACAAGACAAATGTACACTTACAACATCCACAATATCGAGGAGCACACAACATGGAAGATCTACACCAAGGCTTTAATGTGTAGAATTATTTTTTTTTCAAACACTCTTCGTCCATAACTAAAATTTTATAAAATTTTTATATTATTAAGAAATACCTTTGATAAATTTGAATTATTTTATTAAATTATGACATTTTGTGTTTTATTTATAACTAGTGGGGACCCGTGTGATGCACAGGTTTTATTAAACAAATTGAGACAAAAAGATTTAAGGGTGTAGTTTGGATAGACCCAACCTGAACTCGACCTAGCTCAACCCGAGCTAAAATCAACATTTTGGATTGGGCTTGGATTTGGGCATGTTGAGTTTTGTATCCCAATTTTGAGTTAGAATATATTGATAATATGCAGATATGTATATCATAAAATGTTGGGGGTGAGATGAAATTGGGTCGGATTGGTCTCAGGCTACTCGGGGCTTCAACTCAAGTCAAACATGAGTTTAGATTAGGCTTGACCTTTTCTGCCTAAGCCAGCTTGAAGTTCGAAAACTCAAGCCCAACTTGTG